ATTATTACCCTCGGATATGATTAAATAATATATCTACTGCTCTACATAATTTATTGAAATTCTTCATATTATCGATAGAAATTTCTCTGCGTGGAAATCATGTCTTAACTTCTATCGTAGGAATCTTTTGATATGAGAACGCATATTTCTAGAATATAGCAATATTCAAAAGTTTAATTTCATTAAAAAAATATTGGTTTAAATTGCGCTAACTCTTTGCCTTATTGATTGTAATAAAACGAAAAGAATCAAATCTATTTATTGTTTCTATACTATCGCCTACACTATTGTCTGAACTATCTACGCTAACTCAATATCTCAATAATAATTATGGTCCAACATTCTGGATAGAATAAAAATGGTTATTAGTTATACCCATACAAACGTGCAGTGACAAAAAAGCAATTAACAATATTAACCTTATCAAAAATCTGCTGAAAGTTTATGTTGCCTGCCTTTTGTGATACTAATAAATCCGTCACAACCGAAAGAATATTCATTAGTTTGCAAGCCCGAAATATTCATAACTTAATTTCGTGTTCAGAAAAATATAATTATTCGGATTGAAGGATCTGATCGAGTTCAATATACATACAACATTGCCCTCCATAGATTTCAGAAGTAATTAATTTTTCTGGTTTCTAGCATATGGTAAGGGACGTGTCTATAGAGCTCACCCCCTCCCTCCTCCTAAGAAATTTAGTAATTCTGATTGTAATATTTAGACCTGAGATTTTTGTTTACCCTACGATATCAACTGATATCTGACACTTCCCTAATAGTAGTACAGTTGATGATAGGGTCCCATGATTCCTTGTCTCGTGATATGTATGATAGAAATTCGCGAGCATGAATGATAACCTATTAGCCATGTCGAAAAATACTTCGAACGTCCATGCTCTGAATAGAATATTGTGGGATTCTTGAACGAATGTGAAAAGAGACAGTTCAATGAATTCGATGAGAATATATCATATTATGTTTCATGTCTTGAAGCTATATCTAAAGAAGAGGGGCCCAGAAGTAAAAAAGCCCAAGCTTTGCTCGATCGATATAAAAAGGCGAGTACTGGGTTTTGGGGTGGAAAATGGGTGGCAAAGGATTCCCTGAGGTTTTTTGTCACCGGCGGTATTGAGGCACAGGTGGCTCCCTGAGGTCTACTGTGTTCAAGGTTCCTAAGCTGACTCGGTACCGGCCCTGTTGGAGCTCAAACAATTCCCTGAGGTTGTTTGATGTTCAAGGTTCCTAGGCTGATCCAACAGTATGGGGTTATAGATAATTGGGTTGGTTGTCAAAATATTCAAATAACATCTTTTATGTTAGGATTCTAAACCCGACTACAAAATTGCGCGAAACTGGGAGTCAGAGCATACCAAGAAACAAGTCCATCTCTACAATCCGACATTCGTTGGCCAAGGTATTGGAACTATAAGTGGCGGGACATCTGGAACTATAAATGGGCTCATTGTTGAATCTTCAAAGAGAGAGACTCCGGTTCCTGAAAATCAGGTACGCATTATTTGGCTATAACTATTATTTGTATTTGTTTCTGATCCCATCTACAATTTTAATCTTTAGGACTACAATGAAGTTCACAAAAGAGCAAAAATTGAAGATTGGTTTCGACCCTGTACTCTGCCACATCAAATCTATTCGCGAAATGCTTATCCTCCTAGGGTCCAGGAAGTAATTATATTCTATCTCGTAATAATGTTTTATTACTTTTGATATTTTCTTAATGCGAAAAATAAATCACAACAGCGCAATAACAATGAATCATATGTTTACGATGAGTCCT